GAGGCGGGCGGATCATTTGGGGTCAGGAGTTCGAGACCAGCCTGGCTAACAGGGTGAAACCCCACACAGCCACCCCACCGCTCCAAAAAAAAGGTAACTTTTTCTTTTCTTTCCTTTTTTTTTTTTTTTTGAGACTGAGTCTCGCTCTGTCGCCCAGGCTGGAGTTCAGTGGCGCAATCTCGGCTCACTGCAACCTCTGCCTCCCAGGTTCAAGTGATTCTCCTGCCTTAGCCTCTCAGGTGGCTGGGATTACAGGTACCGGCCACCATGCCCAGCTAATTTCTGCGTTTTTAGTAGAGACGGGGTTTCACCATGTTAGCCAGGCTTGTCTCGAACTCCTGACCTTAAGTGATCCGCTCCCTTTGGCCTCCAAAAGTGTTGGAATTATAGGCATGAGCCACTGTGCCCAGTCTCCTTTCCTTTTTCTTTTCTCTCACTCTGTCATCTTTTATCAATGATAACTTTTAAAGATCCCATGATTTGTCACAGTGAGAACTCTCTTTTGCAGCAATCATTTGCAATGATAATATATGCCTGTAAACTAAGGTTTTAATTTTTTTTTTTTTTGAGATGGGATCTCACTCTGTTGCCCAGGCTGGAGTGCAGCAGTTTAATCACAGCTCACTGCAGCCCGAACTTCTGGGCTCAAGCGATCCTCCTTCCTTCTGTTCTGAGTAGCTGGGACTACAGGCATGCGTCATCATGCCTAGCTAATTTATTGTTATTATTTTTTGTAGATACAGGGTCTCACTATGTTGCCCAGGCTCGTCTCAAACTCTTGGCCTCAAGGGATTCTCCCTGGTCAGCCTCCCAAAATTCTGGGATTATAAGCATGAGCCACCAAGCCAAGCCTATTTATGGTTTCTGATCATTTTTATTTCTTTAAAAGAAGTGTACGGCTGGGCCCAGTGGCTCATGCCTGTAATCCCAGCACTTTGGGGGGCCAAGGCAGGTGGATCATTTGAGGTGAGGAGTTTGAGACCAGCCTGACCAACATGGTGAAACCCTGTCTCTACTAAAAATACAAAAAGTTAGCCGAGCGTGGTGGTGGATGCCTGTAATCCCTCCTGCTACTTGGGAGGCTGAGGCAGGAGGACTGCTTGAACCTGGGTGGCAGAGGTTGCAGTGAGACGAGATTGTGCCACTGCACTCCAGACTGGGCTACAGAGCCAGACTCTGTCTCAAAATAAATAAATAAATAAATAAATAAATAAATAAATGTACACTACAGCAAAGCACGTCTGATGCCAATGGGCTATGTTGGGGTGGGGGTAAGGGTGGTCAACTTGACTTGGGGGGTCTGGAAGTCTCAGGAAAGGCAGATGGGGGCGGGCCCACAGCTTTGAGTGTCCTGGTGTCTAAGCAGGAGCCATGGAGTAGGTGGGAGGTGTGAGTTAGGATGAGCTAGAGGTTGGTGCTCTTTCGTCCGAGAGAATGAAGTTGTCTTCAGGTACGATTTCATTTGGAAACAAGATAAAAAAGACTGGCCGGGCGCGGTGGCTCACGCCTGTAATCCCAGCGCTTTGGGAGGCCTAGGCGGGCAGATCACGAGGTCAGGAGATCGAGACCATTCTGGCCAACACGGTGAAACCCCATCTCTACTAAAAATACAAAAATTAGCTGGGTGCTTGCCTATAGTCCCAGCTACTTGGGAGGCTGAGGCAGGAGAATCGCCTGAACCCGGGCGGCAGAGCTTGCAGTGAGCCGAGATCATGCCACTGCACTACAACCTGGCAACACAGCGAGACTCCGTCTCAAAAGAAAAAAAAAAAGAAAAAGGATTAAAGGCCTGGTATGGTGGCTCACGCCTGTAATCCCAACACTTTGGGAGGCCGAGGTGGGTGGATCGCCTGAGGTCAGGAGTTTGCAACCAGCCTGACCAACATGGTGAAACCCTGTCTCTACTAAAAACACAAAATCAGCCGGGCATGGTGGCGCATACCTGTCATCACAGCTACTTGGGAGGCTGAGGCAGGAGAATCACTTGAACCGAGGAGGCGGAGGTTGTGGTGACTGGAGATCGTGCCATTGCACTCCAGCCTGGGCAACAAAAGCAAAACTTCGTCTCAAAAAAAAAAAAAAAAAAATTAGCTGGGCGTGGTGGTGCATGCCTGTAATCCCAGCTACTCAGGGAGGCTGAGGCAGGAGAATCGCTTGAACCCGGGAGGCGGAGCTTGCAGTGAGCCGAGATCATGCCACTGCGCTCCAGCCTGGACAACAGAACAAAACTCCGTCTTCGAAAAACAAACAAACAAATAAACAAACCGAAATTTTAGGAACAGATGGATTTTTTCTCTGGAATATTGACTTCAACCCAGCCACATGTGGATATGCTTAGAAGAGCAGTGCTCAATCTGAAGTTGGGACCGTATCTGTTCTCAAAACATGTGGATCCCTGAGGCCAGACACCAGGTGCCCACCATTGGTGTCAGGGCCCTGCTCCTCTCCCTGCAGTGCAAGGGGCCAGTCCTCAACGCAGGGGCTCCTCCTTTCTGGGTACAGAGAGAAAGAGGAGGCAGGGAAACAGCAAGTGCCCAGGAAGGGTGGGGCCCCAGGGACTTGAAACCAGTCGTCTGATAGCATCGCTGTTTCAGAGGAACACTGGCTACAAAGGGGGCTCCCTTGCCAGTCAGTGCTCAGAGAGACGAGCTCACCTAGCAGGCCCTTCCTACAGCTGCAGCAGTGATGCCTGGACTGTGTCTGCCCAGGGGCGGGCAGTGGAAGGTTCGAGGGAGAGGAGTTCGCGCTTCCCTGGTGCAGCCCTTCCCTCTCCTCCCCAGCCCTGACACCACCACCGCCCCTTGGTCTTCTCTGTCCAGAACCTCTTCTCAGAGGCCCCCTAAGGACAGAGCAGAGGCTCCGCCTAAGTCTCCCACAGCCCCACACTGTGTCTGGCACAGCTTAGGGTGTGGCCCCCTTGCTTGCCCTGAGTTTGCTTGGCTGGAGGGACAGGCCTTTCAATGACTCTGATAATGGAGTAGGGGACCCACAGTGGGGGGCAGCTAGCTCTGTCTATGAGAGTTTTGGCGTGGGGGGGGTTGCAGAAAGATGTCTGATGAGTTTTGTTTTTTTAAAAAAATTTTTGTTTTGAGACAGAGTTTCGCTCTTTCGCCCAGGCTGGAGTGCAGTGGCTCAATCTCCACTCACGGAAACCTCCGCCTTCCAGTTTCAAGCGATTTTCTTGCCTCAGCCTCCCAAATAGCTGGGATTACAGGTGCCCGCCACCACGCCCAGCTAATTTTTGTATTTTTAGTAGAGACGGGGTTTCGCCATGATGGCCAGGTTGGTCTTGAACTCCTGACCTCGTGATCCACCTGCCTCGGCCTCCTAAAGTGCTGGGATTACAGGCGTAAGCCACCGCATCCGGCCAGGTCTGATGAGTTTTTAAGGGTAAATGGGAGTTTTTCAGGCTGTTGGGAAGTGATGTCCCCGCTGTAAGCATGCTGGCCCCACATCTGCTTTGATGTTTCCCAGCCCAGGATGGAGGAGCAGCCCGCATGGGTCTCCTCCATGGGTCCACGGGGCAGCAGGGCCAGAGAATCCTGCCTCTCTTAAGAGAACAACTGGCTGGGCGCAGTGGCTCACGCCTGTAATTCTAGCACTTTGGGAGGCCGAAGAGGGTGGATCACTTAAGGTCAGGAGTTCGAGACCAGCCTGGCCAACGTGGTGAAACCCCATCTCTACTAAAAATACAAAAATTAGCCAGGTGTGGTGGCGGGCGCCTGTAGTCCCAGCTATTTGGGAGGCTGAGGCAGGAGAATCGCTTGAACCTGGGAGGCGGAGGTTGCAGTGAGCTGAGATCATGCCACTGCACTCCAGCCTGGGTGACAAGAGCAAAAAAACTCCGTCTAAAAAAGAAAAACAAGAGAATAACCACCCCTCCCAGCAGCAGTCCAGATGGAGACACGCATAGCAGGGTGCTGTATCCAATCTCTTCCTCTCCTCCCTCGGCCTTCCTCTCCCCACAAACCCCAGGGTCTAGAAAGTAGAAAGCTCTCCCATCTTCTCTCCTTCCTCATAATGAACTCAATGGAACTGGCCCGAGTGCAGTGGTGGTTACACTTAATTGATCACAACCAGTTACAGATTTTTTTGTTCCCTCTCCACTTCCACTGCTTCACTGTAAGAGCCTAACACAAATAAATAAATAAATAAATAAATAAATAAATAAATAAATAGGCAGGTCACGATGACTCATGCCTCTAGTCCCAGTGCTGTAGGAGGCCAAGGTCGGTGGATTGCTCGAGCCCAGGAGTTCAAGACCAGCCTGGGCAGTATGGTGAAACCCCGTCTCTATCAAATAAATAAATAAAAATAAAAAGAAGAAGCAAAAACTAGCCAGGCATGGAGGTACATGCCTGTAGTCTCAGCTACTTGGGAGGCTGAGGTAGGACCAGGGATCCTCAGAGGACTGGGTGATGTCTGACAGTAGCTGCCTGGCCTGAAATTGCCCTTGTCTTTCCAGCCTGGCCTGAATTTCACCCACATCAATTCCTTCCTTCCTTTCTTCCTTCCTTCCTTCCTTCCCTCCCTCCCTACCTCCCTCCCCCCCTCCCCCCTCCCTCCCTCCCTCCTTCCTTCCTTCCTTCCTTCCTTCCTTCCTTCCTTCCTTCCTTCCTTCCTTCCTTCCTTCACCAGGGTCCCACCCTGTGGCCCAGGCTGGAGTGCCATGGTGCTATCATAGCTCACTGCAGCCTCAAACTCCTGGGCTCAAGCAATCCTCCCACCTCAGCCTCCAGAGTGGCTGGGACTACAGGAACGCAGCACTGTGCCTGGCTTATTTTTCTATTTTTTTTTTTTTTGTTTTTTGGTAGAGATGGGGGTCTCGCTATATTGCCCAGGCTAGTCTCGAACTCCTGGCCTCAAGCGATCCTCCTGCCTTGGCGTCCCAAAGTGCTGGGATTACAGGTGTGCCATTATGCCCAGCTAAACCTGTTCCTTGAAGAAAGTGTGGACCTCAAATCCAAAGCCCCTTTCCTTCTCTTCCCTTATCAGAGCTTGCTCCCAGACACGTGCCACTCCTGAATGCATCTGATAAACTCACTCACACTGAGGCCTTGGGGACTGAGGTGAGCTGGGCCCAGCAGTGGGGAGATATATCGGGGAAGTGTTAGTGTTGGTGAATCCATGTGGATTCACCTCAATCCTTGCCTCCTCAGAAGAAAGAATTCCACTGAGGTGCATGAGGCAGAGTGAGGGACCGAGGCAAGTTTTAGAGCAGGAGTGAAAGTTCATTAAAAAGTTTTGGGGCAGGTGCTGGGCACGGTAGCTCACGCCTGTAATCCCAGCACTTTGGGAGGCCAAGGCAGGTGATCACCTGAGGTCAGGAGTTCGAGACCAGCCTGGCCAACATGGTGAAACCCCGTCTCTACTAAAAATACAAAAATTAGCCGGGTGTGGTGGTGAGCGCCTGTAATCCCAGCTACTCGGGAGGCTGAGGCAGGAGAATCACTTGAACCCAGGAGGCGGAGGATGCCGTGAGCTGAGATCACACCATTGCACTCTAGCCTGGGCAACAAAGTGAGACCCTGTCTCAAAAACAAAAAACAAAAAGCAACAACAAAAAAACTCAACCATCTGACCGTCACCTGGTGGTGCCTGACATTGCTGGTTGTGGGGGTCCTGCCCTGCTCCTGTGTCACTAGCTCCCTACGGTAACAGAAGGACTTCTCAACAAGGCTGCATGGCAGGGTGAGGCGGGGAGGGAGGCCGGAGAGAGGCCGTGCAGGCCAGGGCCTGAGTTCTCTGTCCAAGTGAACACGAGTGTGGGGCCAGGTGTATTTATAACACAGGCCCGAACAAACGGGACCAGGCCTCACATAAATCAGGCTATTTCCTCGGCAGGGGTAAAAATAGCCACATGGCATCCTGCACGTGGTTGTGTGTGGAGCAGAGATGGCCTGGCCAACCCTGCATCCCCCCGCACCCCGCCCCCAAGCAGGCCCCACCCGCTGGTCAAGCCCCTTTGCCCATGGAGACCAGGTTTCTTCCCTTTCTGTCTCCTCCTCTCCCTTCCCCTTTTCCCCCTCCTCCTCTGCTTCTCCTCCTCCCCCTCCGCCTCCTCCTCCTCCTTACTCTTCCCCTCCCCTTTCCCCTACTCCTCCTCCTTCTCCCAGTCCTCTTCTCCTCCTCGCTCTCCTCCTCCTCCTCCTCCTCCTCCTCCTTCTCCTCCTCCAGCAGTTTACTGCCTGCCCTGTGTCTCCCAAGACGGGGGCTAACTGAGCTGCTGGAGAAGAGGGGCCCGGCAGAGACGGCTGACTTGGGCTGGCTCAGGCCAGCTGCAGAGGAGACAGGACAGATCCCTGGGCAAAGCCAAGGTGGAGGAACGGTCAGAGCCGGCAGCGGTGCGGACTGTGAGGCAGAGATTTCAGCTGAAAGCTCCTAAAAAGCACTATTGGTTCCTCTGTGATCTGACAGCAGGTGAAACTGAAGCAGAAGGGAAGGGAGGAGCTTAGGGTGACCTGGAGCCAGGGTTGAACTGGGAGGAGACTCCTCTGCCAGTGTAGCCTGGGGTCTGCAGCAGGGTTATTTGGGGGGCTTCTTATGATAAAGACTCCAGGGCCTGCCTCGAGTCCCCCAAGACATGGACTCTCTGGGGGTGGGGTCAGAGGTACATCATTTTATTTTTTAATTTATCATTTCACATTTATTTATATTTTTTAAGAGACAGGGTCTTGCTCTGTTGCCCAGGCTGGAGTGCAGTGATGTGATCATGGCTCACTGCAGCCTCAACCTCCTGGGCTCAAGTGATCCTCCCACCTCATCCTCCACAGTAGCTGGGACCACAGGTGCGCATGCTGCCATGTTTAGCTAATTTTCAATTTTTTTGTAGAGACAGAGTCTTGCTGTATTGCCCAGGCTGGTCTTGAACTCCTGGCCTCAAGCAATCCTCCTGCCTCGGCCTCCCGAGTAGCTGGGATTACAGGCATGTGCCACCACGCCTGGCTAATTTTTTTGTATTTTTAGTAAAGATGGGGTTTTACCATGTTGGCCAGGCTGGTGAACTCCTGATCTCAGGTGATCCGCCCGCCTCGGCCTCCCAAAGTGCTGGGATTACAGGCGTGAGCCACCGTGCCTGGCCCCAGAGCCACGTTTTAAACAACGCCCCATTCCCGTGCAGCTCCAAGAGCCACTGTCCCTGCCTTAAGTGTCCCAGGCCCCCCGACCTCCACTCTGAGGCAGCCCCCACCAGAAGACTGGCACCCTGGGAGGTGGGAGGGGGTACAGGGTCAAGGTGTCCCTCTGTGCCCTCCCTGCCATCCCTTCCCCTCGGGCCAGCCAGTTTTCCAGCTGTCTCTAGGTCAGCAACTGTGGGAAAAAGTGACAGGCTGGAAAAGCAACCTATTTGGGGCATGATCACACTCTGCCCTGGTCACCCAGTTCTCCCGTGTCCCAGCCTCTCTCTGAAGAATCCATTCCCGGCTGGGGGTGCAGGGAAGTAGGCTTCCTGGGGATCAGGCCCCGGGTCAGGTCTGGGAAGGGCCAGTGGGGAAGGACCTCCTAGGGACCGTTCACAAGCACATTCATTCAATCCACACAACACATGTTTGCAGCAGCTATTATCTCTATTTTTACACACTGGGATTTGAACTGGGGTCTCTCCAACCACAACCCAGGGTCTGGTTCACAGTGGAAAACTCCAAATTTCTTTTGTGTCCAAGCTCAGGATTGTCAGGCAGCTGCCTCCAGCGTCTCTCTCCCGTAATGTCCAGGGTGTGGGCATCCAGCCTCGGCCCGACCAGCGGGTGGCAAGGTGCCCTCTCCGCCCTCTCTGGAGTCCGGCCCTCTTCCCTGGGCAGCGGCCTCTGCCTGGCAGAACATCACCATGCCCTGGGCGCTGAGGGGAGAGGCTCTCATCCTGGCAGAGGCTGCAGGCACTTAATTCATCTAATTGGACTTGAGCAGTGGTTCTGGCCACACCACGCCCCAGGAGACCTCGGAGGAGTTACTCTTTTCTGAGCTTCCTTTGTGTAACTGACCGAGGTGTTTGAACCAGAGTGACTCCATCTTGAAGAGCGGCTGGGTAAAATGAGGCTGACACTGGCTGGGCTGCATTCCCAGGCGGCTAAGGCATTCTAAGTCACAGGATGGGATAGGAGGTCGGCAAGTCTGGTATCACAAGATACAGGTCCAAAGACCCTGCTGATGAAGCAGGATGCAATAAAGAAGCTGGTCAAAACCCACCAAAACCAAGATGGTGACCAAAGTGACCTCTGGACATCCTCACTGCTCTTTAATGGTAATTATAATATATTATCATGGCGTCTGGGCACAGTGGCTCACTGCTGTAATCCCAACACTTTGGGAGGCTGAGGCAGGTGGAGCACGAGGTCAGGAGTTTGAGACCAGCCTGGCCAATATGGTGAAACTGCATCTCTACTAAAAATACAAAAATTAGCTAGGCGTGGTGGTGCGTGCCTGTAGTCGCAGCTACTCAGGAGGCTGAGGCAGAAGAATCGCTTGAACCCACGAGGCAGAGATTGCAGTGAACCAAGATCGTGCCACTGCACTCCAGCCTGGGTGACAGAGCGAGACTCTGTCTCAAAAGAAAAAATATATATATATGTGTATATATATAATATATATAGTACGCTAATAAGCATACAAAAGACACTCCCACCAGCGCCATGACAGTTTACAAATGCCATGGCAATGTCCAGAAGTTACACTATATGGTCTAAAAAGGGGAGGAACCGTCATTTCTGGGAATTGCCTGCCCCTATCCTGAAAAATTCATGAATAATCCACACCTTGTTTAGCATATGATCAAGAAATAACCATAAAAATAGCCAATCAGGCAGCCCTTGGGTTTGCTCTGCCTACGGAATAGCCATTCTTTATTAGTCTGTTTTCATGCTGCTGACAAAGACATACCCAAGACTGGGTAATTTATAAAGAAAAAGAGGTTTAATTGACTCACAGTTCCACGTGGCTGGGGAAGCCTCACAATCATGGTGGAAGGCGAAAGGCACGTCTTACATGGTGGCAGGCAAGAGAGCACTTGTGTAGGGAAACTCCCCTTTATAAAACCATCAGACGTGTAAGACTGATTCACTATCACAATAACAGCATGGGAAAGACCCACCTCCATGAGTCAATTACCTCCCACCGAGTCCCTCCCAGGATACGTGGGAATTATGGGAATTACAATTCAAGATGAGATACGGGTGGGGACACAGCCAAGTCACATCACATTTTTTTATTCCTTTACTTCTCTAATAAACTTGCTTTCATTTGATGGACTTGCTCCAATTCTTTCTTGTGTGAAGTCTAAGAACCCTCTCTTGGGGTCTGGATCTGGACCCCTTTCTGGTAACATAAACAACACTTGGTGAGCACAGAACCCACTGACAGGCCCCTCTTATCCAGTTCTTATCTGGGAATTCTCTCACTCATTCTACAGGCATTCATGGAGGACCTCTTATGGGAAAGGCGTTATTCCTGAGTCGGGGTAGAGCAGGGGACAGGACAGGCAAGGTCCCTGTACACCTGGCACTTACATTCTAGAGAACATCAGTGCTGCACACAGTGTCTCATGCCTGTAATCCTAGCTACTCAGGAGGCCAAGGAGAATCACTTGAAACTGGGAGACAGAGGTTGCAGTGAGCTGAGATTATGTCACTGCACTCCAGCCTGGGCGACAGAGCAAGACTCCATCTTGAAAAAACAAAAACAAAAACGACCTGATTATCGCTTGATTGTCACCTGACATTCCTGGTGAGGGGAGGGGCCCTGTCCTGCCCTGCTCATCTTTGCCTAGCTACCTATTCAACAGGATTATGGCAAGACATTAGGAATCGATGTATGAAACATCACAGTTGTTCTCCCGGTGGCCCCAGCATGCGTTCCCTCTTCTGTGTTGAAAGGGATCCAACCTTGGCCAGGTGCAGTGGCTCACACCTGTAATCCCAGCACTTTGGGAGGTCGAGGCAGGCAGATTACCTGAGATCAGGAGTTCAAGACCAGCCTGGCCAAGCTGGTGAAACCTGGCCTCTACTAAAAATACAAAAATTAGCCGGGTGTGGTGGTGAGCCCCTGTAATTCCAGCTACTCGGAGGCTGAAGCGTGA